AAGGATGGAAGGCTGAGTCAACCTTGAGCCGGTGAGATTAGAACCGCTGAACTGCAGATAACAGTCAGCTGAAGTGGCCTGCAGTACTGCATCCTTAATCTGATGAGGTTCTTCAAAAGCTGATGAATGGATGCTAATGGAAATATGATATATGATATATTGGATGGAAAGCTTTGTTGTCCATATGGAACTATTAGAGATTTAATAGGCTCTTGAAAGCTGGAGAGCTCAAATTTTAGGCAACAGAAGTGTTCATTTTGCACCAAAGTAGATGACGGAAACAACCTTCTCCTCACTCTTCCCAATAAAGAGTACTTGGAATGGTTTTGACCCCTGAAGAAGCTATTCACTTACATGGCTTTCTTTGTTTGTAGAAATATATAGTTTAGCTGTAGATAGTTATGCCAAAACATTTGGATGCCTCAGATTTTCTTTTAAAATTGAGATCCTAATAGTTCATCCTTCACACACTGTTGGGATTTCTAAATTGAAACATGGAACATAAGACTTTTGTGATCATTGCTGTCTTTTATGGCTATCTCAAAATCAGTCACCTGAGGCAGAATCAGTCAGCCCTTGCCTAATGGTAGCTCGGGTTCTACAGTTAAGGAGGCCAAAAGTATCTGACGGGATAAATTGTGGATATATGTGTATGCACTGTCAAGTCAGTTTTTGACTCCTGGTGGTTCGTCTATAATCTATGCATTTTTTCTGCCTTTTTAAAATTACAAATTGATAATATCTGGAAAATGCTTATTTAAATCTATTTGTATGTTTCTATTTTTATATGCCTATTTGGGAAATCCAGAGTTGGTTTATTTTATTTTTTAAATCAAATTTCCCATATATGTTTCAAAGTGACAGTGAATCAACACACAAATCTTTCTCTCATTCCTCTCTTTGCTCCCAAAACAACCTTTTAGCAGAGTTTGGGAGACAGAACGAACTGGCAAATTACTCCTAATCTCATCCTCTGTCTAGGAATTTTGGAACAGACACATAAGAAAATTAGCAATAGCAATAGCAATAGTAGTAGACTTATATACCGCTTCATAGGCCTTTCAGGCCTCTCTAAGCGGTTTACANTGGGGGCAGGGGTGAAATGCTACTGGTTTGGGCCGGTTCAGCCAAACCAGTAGTAAAAAATACTTTAAAAAGTAAAAAAAAAAAAAAAAAAAGAGAGGGGGGGCGGATCTGGAGTCCTGAAGCTCGGTGGAGTGCCTGCCTGACTGCCTCCCCTTCCTCCTTGCCAGCGCCTTGTGGGACATCGAGACGGGCCAGCAAACCACCACCTTCACAGGCCACAGTGGGGACGTGATGTCCCTCTCGCTCTCCCCCGACATGCGCTGCTTTGTCTCGGGCGCGTGCGATGCTTCCGTCAAGCTGTGGGACATCCGAGACAGCATGTGCCGGCAGACGTTCACGGGACACGAATCCGACATCAACGCTGTCTGTGTGAGTGCAGAGCCTGCCTTGGGGAGGGGAGAGGTCAGCCCTCATGCTGACATTCGTGGGGGTAGTGGCTTTTCCGTGGCGGCGCTACCTCCTGACCTCAGAGGTCCAACTTAGTAAAGATAACCCCCTCCAACAACTGGGCTAGCAAAGTCTTCACGAGTGGCAGTTAAGCTCCACGCACACAACATTGATACCCCGAAAGTCCACACATAGGCGGAAGCCGCCATCTATCTTTTCCCTGAATAATATAGGAGCGGCAATGGGGTGGGGTGGGGTGTTTGTAGGAGGCCGGACTCGAAAGACCCTGTTTGAGATACTCTCCAGCCCCTGTCTCGTTAGGCCAGAATTTCTCTTGTTACACACAAACAACAAACAACCAGACCCAAAAATGTAGAGTTCAAAGTAGCTACTTTATTGTTCTGTGATTGTAGTACAGTGTTGTAATATAGTTCCTTGTGTAGGTGTGTGTTCCTTGTGTAGACTGGAGTTTGGAACTTCGTGGCATTCAAAAGGGGCGGGAGGTCCAGACTTCGTCCTCACATGTTAACGTAACGAGTCCCTTGCTAATTCCCTATTTGACCTCGACTGGGACGGTTGCTCCGCAGCAGCCATTTTAAAGCGGGCAAACTTCAAACTCCCAGAATCCCCTCGCTGTCTCTGCTTAGCTGCCTCCCCTCTTCCTTTCTCACCCAGTTCTTCCCCAATGGGAATGCCTTCACCACGGGTTCCGATGATGCCACCTGTCGCCTCTTCGACCTGCGTGCCGACCAGGAGCTGATGCTGTACTCGCACGACAACATCATTTGTGGCATCACCTCGGTTGCCTTCTCCCGCAGCGGACGCCTCCTGCTGGCCGGCTACGATGACTTCAACTGCAACATCTGGGACTCCATGAAGGGCGACCGGGCAGGTGAGTGGCCAGCAGGAGCTCCTCTTCCCTCCGTCTGATGCCTCTGCCCACTCCTGTGCCCCTGACTTCGCTGCTGTGTTAAAAGCTCAGAGCAGCCCTTTTTAAGTCAGCAGAGTTAAGGGAATGAAATTCTCCTCCCAGCCTCAAGCATCTGCTTGAGATCCTGCGAAAATCTAGGGACTCCTGGTTTTCAGAAACCAGATCAGACCGTAGTCTCCTTGGTTTGAGTTCTGTGGCCTCGGTTGTTTGAGTAGCTTATTGTTCCTCCCCAGAGACTTTTTTTTTTTTTTGCAAGAGGCAACTGGACTTTCTTGCTTTTCTGTGAAGACTTTCATCCAAGCAGCTTCTTCAAATTTGATCCTTCCATTCTGCACCATCCCAGTTAGAGCTGAAGAAGCTTCTTGGGATGAGAAGGGAAAGGTCTTCAAAGAAAAACGAGGAAGTCCAGAGTTGTCGTTTGGGGGAGGAAAAAAAGAGAACCGTGACCTGGATGATGGAGAAGCTCCCTAGATGTCTTTATGGTTATTGGAGGGGTCCTTGGTGCCCTCGGAGCTTGGGGGGTTCCCTTGCAGACGTTTCGAGACCCAACTAGGTAGCTTCTTCAGTGCTAGAAGGGAGTGAGGGGTTGGGAGGCGGAGGAGGAGGAGGAGGAGGAGGAG